TTGTTTTTTAAAGCTTGAAAGGATGTGAACGAACTGTCAGATGAACTTACTTAAAGTGAGGTACTTCCATCGTCAGCCATTATTGTAAGAAAAACGCCCCTAAATTCCTCCAAAATAATTCCAAGTCCACTTTTGCACATGAGCACGTCAAGAAAAAGCACTCTGCCCAGGGGGAGGTCTATGTGGGATTCAGAACCACCCCGCTGGCAGCAGGCCACCGGCTGTGCTCACAGGCCCTGGATCCCCCAGTCCGATGCCACGCAATTGTCTTGCGTCGCTCCCCAGACACAGGGCTGCCCTCTCCGCGGGGGAGCACGTGGAACGTGCTCCCAGCCTGGCCGGGAACTCCTCCTGCCCCTTGCACGTCATCAGGAAGTCCCAGAAGTCAATGCCATCAGCTACTCACCGGTGGCAGCCCAGCCGCACGGGGAGCGAGGCCTCAGGCCGGCCTCACTCGGAGGCCGCGGCGCACTGCCAGCAGCAGGCCATTCGGGGCCCTGGTGCCCGTGTGCTGCCAAGGGCCACGGCCAGGAGGTTACTGTGTTGTTCCAGGCCACCACCCCGCCCGCCAGGGGGCCTGGGCACACAGAGACAGTACCACCTCCTCGCTCACGCCCACGCCCCCGCCCCCACCAGAAAAGGTCTGCCGGAAACACACACAGTGGGGGTCGGGAAGGCGCAGCTGCGCAGGCTGCACTTCTCCTGGCTCAGCCGGCAGCCCCGGAGCGACCTCAGGCGCCGAGAGGCAGCGCGCTCGCCAGGGCTGTGGGACGCCGTCAGCCCCAGGACAGAAGCCACAGGCGGCCTGGAAGGCATCCCCGGGCAGGCCCCCATCCCAAACAGGCCCTTCCCAGGCCCCACAGTTGTGCTGGCACCCCGCCCATCCGGACGCAGAGCTGCCTCCTCATCACAGCCCCGTCTCCGTGGTCACAGGCCACAGCGAAGCCCCCATCTCTCGCCCTGGGGGCTGGCTCTCAGAGCGCCTCGGAGGAGGCCCCGCCCAGCCTCCCCGGGCCCTCCCGAGCAGCCAGGGGGCCTCCGGCAAGCCTGCGCCCCGTGTGGCGCCCTCAGCCCTGGCGGACAGCACCGTGTGGCCCGCTGCGGGGCCGCCGACGGGGTGCGCTTCCGGGCGTGCGGGCACAGGGCCCCCCGTCGTCCCGGGCCCCCTTCAGCCCTGCACAAGTGGCACTGGTCAAAGCTGAGGGGCTTCACGCAGAGTGGCCCGGGCGTGCCCCCTAACCCTGGCTCTACATCCCCCCACCAGCACGCCCGGCGCCAAACGGATTCCGGGGTCCTCCTCACCCAAGGCCTGTGCAGGAATTTGCACACCACCCCTGTCACCGAGAGCCACGGGACCGGCCGGCACCCTGTGAGCGGCGTCTCAGGAGCACGCCCCGACCGTGCCTCAGGCTCCTCCCCCAACCCCCCGCCCCCCCGCCACGATGCTCCAGGCTGGGGCGCTGGGTTCTCATGAACTGCAGGGGAGAGAGCTGCTCTCGTTTGGTCCCCAGGACCTCTGTTCTTCATGGGGCCGGATCGAACGACTCCTTATGGAGAAAAGAGAAAAAACAAAGAAGCTGTGCCTGACTTTTCCTCAACTACAAATTACCACAAAGGTGATGAAATTAGGTCCAGAAAAGGGCAAGAAAAAGTACAGAGGGAGAGACGCCAAGTTTCCCCGTGTCTGAGAAGGGCGGCCGCGGACGTTATTGGAGCGATAAGGGATGGCTTGGGCGCGCAGGCCTCCGCTCTCCTGCAGCCAAGTCCGCCGCCCCCCACCCCCCCACGACCTACACAGCAACACATGGGCGCGGCCTGGGCTCTGCCACTTGCTATGCTGACGGCAACTGATCTCGAACTGATCTGGAAAAACACAGGTAATCGTGCCTGCGACGCTTCGCTGCCATAATTAAAGACAATGGATGTGGAAGTGCCTAACAGAGGGCCCAGGGCACAGCTGAGGCTAAACAAACAGGAGTTTCCTCAGTTCCCGTGTTCTAACGAGCGCACGGCACGCCCATCCCGCGGCCAGCTACGTCATTTCCCAGGCAGAGGCTCCCCAGGACGCGAGGCCCCCAGGGCGCGGGCCCCTCCGGCGGAGGGGAGCGCCGTGCTCACGCCCACACGGCTGTTCCCGCGGTCCCTGCTTCTGCCCGCAGGCCCCCCCGCCAGTCGCAGGACCGGTTTAAGACCCATCTGACTTCGCGGACACTCCCCCAGGCTGGACTCCAGGCGTTCTCCCTGCTCGTGGACATGGCACATGGAAACCCGAGTGGTGGGCAGAGCGGCTTGCGTTGTGACGGGGCCGAGTGGGCCCCACGCACAGGCACAAGTTCATCTCACCTGGCTGGTGAGTGTGTGAGCCAGACGGCGGGGAGAGCCTGCGCCTGCGGCCAGAGGCCTAGCTAAGGTCCAGCGCCTGCTCGGACACTATCCAGCTGTGTGACCGCCAGCCGCAGGCTGCTCCTCTGTGAGGCGCGACAGTAAGACCTAGTGTCAGCCATGCTCACTCTCACCCTCAAAATGCAGGGGGCAGGGGCGGGTACTTCAGTACTCACTCCGTCCTGGGGAAGAGGAACATGAGGGGCGGGGGAAGAGAGCGCCCCTGCGGGACCCAGCCAGCACGCCCAGAGAGCGCCGACGCGCTGCGCGCTCGGCCGCGGCAGCGAGTGCCCTCTGGCCGCAGGGGCTGCCGCCTCCCGGTCCGGCCCTTGGCCTTACTTGACTGGGTCTGCCGTCCTCAAGGGACCAGCCTCTGGCCACTGGCCGGGCCCCCCTGCTCCAGGGCAGGCGGCCACCGGGCGGGGCAGCGCGTGGGCACACGGATGGAGGCTCAGGAGGCTGAGCCCCAATGACCCTCCCCTCAGATGAGGGTGGCGCCTTATTAAACCTGCTTCCTCCTTCCGCTGCAGGGACAGTGAGGCCGGGGGGCAAAGTCCACATCTGGGTCTAGAGAAAAAAGCAACAGACCCTGGAAAGCGGAAGCCGCCCTCGGGCAGAGGCAGCCGGAATGCCCCAAGGCCGCCCAAGGCCCAGCCTGGCTAACGAGGTCGCGGAAGGGACGCCAGAGCGGGCCTGGGTGGCCGCGTCAGAGGCCCCCAGCGGGCCCTGGCAGAGCTGCCTCAGCGACGCCGGGAGAGGCCGTGTCAGGGTGGCGGGCAGGGCAGAGTTGGGGACGTGAGACTCTGGCTGTTTTTAAAATCCATTTTTAAAATTGTGATAAAGACCCTATTACAAAGTTTAGCACCTTCACCAGGCCTGCACTGAACGACAGCTCCCAGGGAAACCGGAAACCAAGCTGCAGAGGAACAAAGCTTTCTGCTGTCTTTAGCCACGTAGTTCAGTAGTATTAAAAGTACACTCAGATTATCGTGAACAAGGTCTCCAGAACTTTTTCATCTTGTGAAACTGAAACCCTGTACCCACAGACCAACCCCCCACCCCAACCCCGCAGCTCCTAGCAACCACCACCCGACCTTCCGTGTGCACAACGTCCACTACCTCAGGTACGTCAGGTCCAGGGCGCGGCTCCCGGCTTGTAAGCAAGCAAGCCGGGGGGGGGGGGGACGGGGACGGACAGGACACACGTGCGGGCCGACTCCCCAGGAGGCACAAAGTGTGAGAGCGACTCGCATCTTAGAGCCAGAGACTCACACAGAGATGGAGAAAGCCCCGAAAGCAGACACGACCTGCCGGCCGGAACGCAGGACTCGCAAGGGCGGACGCTCGTCAGCGCCCCATCCCCAAGAGGACCAGGGACGGGTTCCCCCAAACCACGCAGAACTCAGCACTGGGGCTTTTAACTTGGTAGCAGTGCCCTGGTGGGCCACCTGTTATTTCTGGAAACGTACGCTCGTGGAGACAGAACTCGTTTGGCCAGCAGTCTCTGCAAACACCCCCGTTTCCAGGGGTGCCTGGGGGGCGCGCACAGGGCCGGGCCAGCAGTGCCAGCACGGCCGCGCCTGCCGGTTCCCCGGCCTGGGCGCCGTCGGCCCGCGCAGGACTCCTTTCCCCGTATCAGCGATAACCTTGAGCTTGAGGCCGAGCAAGCACTGGCACGAAGAGGAATGCATAAATTACCTGACCTGCACCCCAGATCCTATCTCCCCACTACAGAAGACTGGCTGAGGACACCCGAGTCTGCCCAGGAGAGAGCGGAGCCAGAAAGGGCAGAGAAGAGAGAAAGGACACTTGCGGCCGGTCAGGGGGGACGGCCTATGCCTCCTGTGACTGCCCTCCTCCCCGGGGCCCGCAGGGCTCTCCCTTCTCTGGCAGCCTCGCTGTGCGTGGAAACGGCGTAAAACTTAACTAGGTGCGTGACCCACAGATCCAGACGCCAACTTCACCTCAGCTATTCTGGATTTCAGCAAAGACCGAAAGATGAATCCCACCTGTCCCATGGAAAACGTGCCGTCTTCCTGAGTTAAACTGGAGAGGGGAAAAGATCACTAAAAACGCTCATAAATCCAAAAAGCCCAAAGGAAAAAATGCTTGTGCGGGAAGCAAGTGGCTCTCACCCTCAAGTCGTTACCGAAACCAGAACCCCCAGGGCAGGAAACTTTCTAGAGCTCGCACTACAGGAGGAGGCTGTTGCTAAGGCTTCCAGGAAAGAGCATCAGAAACTTATGGAGAACAAACTCAGCTGAGAAAACAGTTTGCTACCTCAGTGAAGAGAGGAACACTGGGGGCAAAGCCGGATGGCACAAGCCCGGGACCCAGCCCCCAGGCGGGCGGCCGGGAGCGCCTGCGCTGATCTGCGGCCCCCGGGAAGCCGGAAACCAAGCCGCAGAGGAGCAGCTTTCTGCTGTCTTCAGCCCTGAGGCAGGCTGTCCAGGGTCTAGGGAACTCTCTCTGGAGAAAGACAAGAGTTTAAGGACCACCACTGAGCTCTGAAGGGCCCAGGCTTAGAGGAAACTCCAGAGAAGGCTTGGGTTTGGAAAGACGTGAGGGGCACTGGCTTCCCCGTGCAGGAAAAACAGTGAAACGAGGGGAAAACTTACCACAGTGTCAGGAGTCAAGGCCCGCAAGACATCGCAGCAGAAGAGGCAGAGGCAGGGCCCACAGTGGCTGGAGGGCTACAGAAGCCTTCGGATCCTGCCGGGTTGAGAAATGCAGGGAAAGGTAGAAAGTTTGTATCATGGAGAACTTAGGATTAAGAATTTTTTTTTGAGGAACAGCTGTTGCAAATGCGCGGTCCTGGTTCAGAAGACAGGGTAGACCCACCTAAATTTGGGACTTACGTAAACATAGGAGACTCACAGCATGCAGGGCCAAAGAGGGGGTGAGACCACCAGAGAAGCCTTAGAGGCGAAAACCCAGGCAGTCTGCACACCTCGATACCCAGCTGCCGCCATCAGCTGCGACAGGAACGCCCCTGCTGAGCTTTAGGCCCACAGGCACTGCGCACTGGGTGACCGCCTCGGGTCGCCAGGACCCGTGCGTCCGACCCCGTCCTGCCGTCCAGCGGCAAGGAGGACACAGAAGCAGAGCACAGTCGGGCCTGTACCCCGCTTCCCATGGGCCAGCGGGTCGCCGTCACCGAAGACGCCAGGGATGGAGTTAATGGAGACCGTGAAGGCACCTGGCCGCAGAAGTCAGCCTCATACGGCGGTTTAAGGACCGAGTAAGTTAAAGCATAGACATCCTTAAAATAGTGCCTGAAAATTTTAAGGGCTCGACAAAGATTCGCTATCATTATCATTATTTTAGTTATTCCATCTATTACCTGCCCCCCCCAACACACACACACTCTTTTTAGTAACTCCAGAGAGTAATTTGGGAACCAATTTCAAGACCTGTCTTTCAGTTTGGGAAACACTACTTTTCCTTGGGACATCTGATGACATGGTGAGGGGTCTGGCAATCAAAATGGTGTGATCTGGGCCTCTGGATTAGACATTTAGTTTTTCTTCTAAATTCTGTCAATCTGGGGATGGTATAAAACTGCTGTATGTCCACACAGCTCCCCAGAACTTTGAAGCAAAGGAAATACGTGAATGACACGAGGTCAGCATCACCCAACTTTGCCAACATGGCTGGAAGCAGCGGGTCACTCCCAGCAGAACCGACTCACACAAGAAACAGAACCCTACCGTTACCTAGCGGCCCCGCAGCATCAGAGACCGAATAAACAGAAGAATGTGGAGAAGTGAAAATGTTTCCAGTGTGCCTAGGGATTTCGGTTTCTCTGTGGGAACGAAGGGCTGACAACGCGGCACACACTTTAAAGGGCGGGGACACACATGGAGGAGTTTCAAGCGGCTTCGATACTAGGCCAGGGCGCTGCTCCCTCACTGAACTACCTGGGCCCATCACGGGGCCTGCTGGCCCGCACGCCCTGCCGCTGGGGGCAGCGTCCACTCGTCTCCTCTCTGCAGCCGTAGACTAAGTGCGGGCGCCTGACCCGAGAGCTCTCCGTGAACGTGGACGTGGCTTATAACAGTAACAACAGCGACAACAAAGGCTGATTCCCAATGCTGAGGAGGGGACTTGCTGTGCGGGACGAAGCCGAAAGGTCAGGATGTGAAAGGAACCGGAGCGGCCACAGGGGTGACAGCAAGCCCATGTTACGAGGAGACAGAGCCTGGAAGGCAGAGCAAAGGCCCAGAGGGCGCCCCGAGGGACCCCACTGTCCACGGGAAGACTGTGGTGTGTCTCTGAGCCACCTTCGCTGCTGACAGTGTTCCGGTCTGCAAGCATCCGTACGACTTGTCCTCTGCTTCTTACAATGGTCTGGAAGAGTCCCTGCTCCTTACCACCAAAAAAGCCCTAACTGCGTGTTACTGCAGCCCCGCTGAGGACGCAGTTCCCCCAGCAGGCAGCTCAGCGCGTCCCACGGGCTCCCGGCGGGCGCCCCCGGCAGACGTGCCCGGACATCCCAGGAGAGGGTGTCTCAACCCTCGGGCACCCTTGGCAACACCCTAGGGCTTAAGAGCATCTCAAGGGCCAATAAAAATGTTTGAGACCTGAAAAAAATATTGATTGGATGCAAAATATGAAAAGAAAACCATAAAACCAAAGTTAATAAATGTGACAACTAGTCACATGAAGGTTAACTCCTAGTTTTGTATAAGCTCATTTCACGTGAGATGTGGATGCATTTTTAATGTTTAACGTGTGATACGGTGAAGGCCACCCGAGATGGGAGTGTTGAGGCCACCCAGTCCCGCCGAAGCGGACATGTCCGGGCCTACACGGGAGCCTGCCCGCCCGGCCCCTCGCACAGGTTTGCACCTTAGACAGTGCACCTTGCTATACAAAGCTGAGCCGTCTAAAGTTAGAATTCAACCCCCCACCTCCCAAATTTAAACATATTATTTTAGTGCTTCTGATGTTAATATCTGTTTTTCCTTAATGAAATATTCGTCCTGGCTGGTGTGGCTCCATGGATTGAGTGCCAGCCTGAAAACCAAAGGGTTGCCGGATCGATTCCCAGGGCACAGGCCAGGGTCGCAGGCTGGGTCCCTAGTGGGGGGCCCTCAAGAGGCAACCGCACATGGATGTTTCCTTCTCTTTCTCCCTCAGTTCCTGTCTCTCTAAAAATAAATAAATAAAAAAAATTTTTTTAAAATTCTAAATTCATGAAATTAAACAACTCTTAACCACCCTATTTGTTTTACCAAAAAGAAAAACACATCCCTGACTGCAAATTGTCCTGTGCACATTTAAAGGACTTAACTCCTGCCGTCTGCCACAACCGGGTCGCATGGAGTCTCCTTTCTGCATGCGGGAGCCCCTGAAGGGTCACGAACAGCCCGACGCCTTCTCTTCCATTTGGTCAGATTCTCAGTCTGAGCAGAGGAGGCGGCGCACAGAAGTTACACAAACTTTAAATCTTATACCTAAGATGACAGTGTTTTAAAAAGGGAAGAGCGAACACAACCCTCTCCCTGGGGACCGGTCGTCACGGCGCTGCTCCAAAAGGCACGGACGAGCTCGCCCGCTTAGGACCGGCCCACCCCCCCCCCCCCACCCCCCGCCCTTCCCCACAAACCCCCGCATCTGCTGCCATCTCCGCACCCGCCCCTTTCCCACACCTGGACGCGCCCCTTAATCCACTTCCGCAAAGCCGTCCCTAAAGGCCGGACCCGTCCTTGTCACCCCCTAAGGCCCCCGCCTTGCTCTGATCGCAGTCCAGTCCGCGCAGGCCTCCTGGGTCCCCCGCCCCCCACACTCTCCCGCCGCTCCTCGGACCCCCGGCCGGCTGACCCTTTCTACCATCCCTGCTTCCTCCACAAGAGCCCGCGTCCTGGCTCCGTGTCTTAGCACAGCCGCCTGCCGGGCTGGAACAAGGGCCTTTCCAGGGTGACTGTCCTGCCACGTTCTCTCACAACCAGGCTTGTCCTCTTCCCTGGACTTCCAGCTGCCTACGGGGATGTTTCCCTATCGTCCCACGATAAACTCAACATCACTCGTCCACCATGTTCCGAGGCCGAGTCCACATAAAGGGCACCGTCCTCCCTTAACCCTCTGGAACGAGGAACCCTGTCTGAAGCTAACTGTCCCCTGCCCCCCTCGGCTGCCTGTTCCCTCCGCTTGGCTGCAGGCCACCCTCCGCCGTCTCCAGCGGCCACACGTCCAGCGGTCACAAACCTGTCTCCCGCCCCCCGCCCACGCAGGCCTCTCTACTTCCCAGGTTCCTCCTGGCTCGCCTCCCACTCAGTCCTCACCCCTATCCCCCTGAAGCCCCTCCAGGCCAAACCCCAGGGCTTTGTCTCTCTCCGGCATCTTCCTGGTGGCCGGGCAGCGGGGACAGGAACCCTCACCCCCAGCCTGATCGTGCAGCGCCTCCTCCCCCGGGGAGGCTCCTCAGTGTCCTGAGTGCCATCGTGGCCTCCTCCGCTCCCGGATGGCACCCACCGCCGTTGCAGCAGCGCGTCCGCTGCTCCCTGCCGCCAGCTATGACAGGGGCCTCCTGAAGGGTCCACTGCCACTGTCCACAGGCCTCCAGAGGGCACTCCATACCTGCGTGGATGCCCGAGCTTGAATTTCACGGGGCATTCCTACCTCTGCCCCATGGGCGAGCGCCATGAAGGCCTGCACATGCTGCCTTCCGCAGGCCCCCCAGTTCTCACGGTGAGCCTGGCACCTCTCACGAGGCCCTAACCCTGCCGTAAAGCACAGTCGCACTGAGACGCACACTGGTCGTCACCTGAGAAACTGGACTGCGCGTGCTGGCTCACGCCGAGCACCCGGAATCAGGGAAATGTTATTACGTCCTGCGAGGCTGACTCCCACCCGTTTGAACAGAGCAACTAAAAATGACTGTGAAGCAGAGACATAGCAGAGCTCACTGTGCAGGAGAAAAGGGGTCTGGATTATTTTTACAAACTGTGTTATCGCTCACCTAGCAGGCAGGCTTTATGATCTTTGGGATCGAGGTTTGCTCTGGCTACAAGGGCTTCTTCATAAGACCTGTCACAAGACCATGGAAATAAGCTATGATTAGTTCATGAACTTGAACTTGCAGGGGTATGAAAAATAAATGAGCACTAGAACAGCTTTCTGGATTTCTTATAAGATATCAGGTGACACAGAGACAGTGCATACTCCACTCAGAACAGAGGCGCAGAAATGCGTCTCTCTTAGGAAGCACTATAAATCACTGCTTTTTAACATTAATTCCGAATGCCTCAGACGCAACGCCAAGGCTAAATTTCATCTCCTAAAAATCTCTCTCCCAGGTATAACGAGCACCTACCCCAGCCGGTGGCCACCCACCCTGGGCTCCTCCACGTGGATCCGCTGTGCTAATGCTTTCAAACCAGCCTGAACGATGACCACCGTCTGCGAAACCTCGTGTCACTCCTTCCCTTTCATCACGGCTCTGAGCCACTCAGCACCGCCGGTCCCGTCCATCGCCAGGGCGCCCTGCTCAGGTGCCAGGACACGCCTCTCCCGAGCACTGCCGCCCACAGGCACCCCGGGCACACCGTGGGGCAGGTCTGCTCCCAAGGCCCCGCCACGGCGAGCTGGGCGGCGGCGAGCGTGGGCACAGAGCAGAGCCGGAGCCTCGTCCCCGAGAGCTTAAGCTGGGAGCGGAGCGGCTGGAGTGGAGGCCAGCCGGCAGGGCACACAGACCCGCTGCCCCGACT